TAGTTCTAGGTTGCTTCTCTCTTTGGTTAGTTTCCACCCTTTGCTTCTTGTCCTGCCTTCAGGCGCTTTGGAAAATAGCTTGACTCCCTCTTCTTTGCGGCAGTCCCTGAGATATTGGAACACTGCTATCATGTCCCCCCCTCGACATACCCAATTCCAGCAACCGTTCCTTATATGCTTTAGCCTCCAGTCCCCTAATCATCTTTGTTGCTCTTCTCTGTACTCTTTCTAGAGTCTCAACATCTTTTTTACATCGTGGTGACCAAAACTGGATGAAGTATTCCAAGTGTGGCCTTACCAAGGCATTGTAAAGTGGTATTAATACTTCACGTGATCTTGATTCTATTCCTCTGTTAATGCAGCCTAGCACTGTGTTGGCTTTTTTGGCAGCTGCAGCACATTGCTGGCTCATATTTAAATGATTGTCCACTAGGACTCCAAGAGCTTACTGATTGTTCCTTGGATACTATGGTTATGAGGTTATTTACACATTTCATAGCTAATGTAGTATATGATATTCTCCTCCAGAAATATTATTCATTATCTTGGTTATGTTTCAAATTATATGTTTCAAATTATAGTTCTGAACAAATTGTCTTTTATTATTTTATATATTGCTGTAGGTGAGAATCAGGATTCCACATGAAAGAAGTAATAAAACAAGCATCTTTTCCTAGCAGCAGTCATAAGGATTACTTTTTGTGGGTTGATAGACTTCCTACCTATCTGTGCACCTCCAAATAATATCCCAACTGTTGACTTAAATGTGACACATTTGGCACAATGAAGATGCACAGATCTTTCCCAGTTAGATCCCACCTCTGCTTGTGTAATAATGTATTTTTTAACCACAGCTTCAGTATTATTCTTCATGTAATATATGTCCTGCTAACCTAGATATAAAATTTCTTGATTCTAGAGTTCAATTAAAAAAAAACCAGCTTTCATGATGGAAGCTGCTACTTTACTTTTAGCATCTATATTTATTATCTAACCACTGGTGGTGCAGTCGTTAGAATGCAGTATTGTAGGCCAACTCTGCCCACAGTCTGGACCTCGATCCTGATGGACTTGAGGTTGATTCAGCTTTCCATCCTTCCAAGGTTGGTAAAATGAGGACCCAGATTGTTGAGGGCAATATGTTGACATGTAAACCATTCAGAGAGTGCTATAAAGCACTATGGAACACTTTATAAGTCTAACTGATATTACTATCTGTGTATCTATCTATCTATCTATCTATCTATCTGTCTGTCTGTCTGTCTGTCTGTCTGTCTGTCTGTCTGTCTGTCTGTCTGTCTGTCTGTCTGTCTGTCTGTCTGTCTACCTATCTATCCATCCATTTATCCATCTATTTATCCATCTATGCTTTGTGGGAAAGTAACAGTATTCTATGTGGCCACATGACCACAAAAAAGTCTTCGGACAATATTGGCTCCCTCAGCTAAGAGATGGAGATGAACACTGCCTGCTAGAGTTGGAAATGACTACCTTTATCTTATCTGAATAGTTATGAAAATTTTCAAATATCCTAATTCAACTTTGGGGTATATTTTAACTAGGGCTCTCAAAACTTCAACATAGTTTAAAACGCCCAACTCACCTAAGTAACTTTGGGCAGTTTACAACGTCATAATAAAATCATATAAATACATGAATAAAATATAAATTAAAAACAGGTTAAAATTTCATGTGCTTCTTCTTTAACTGTTTAGCATATTTGCTGCCCAGGGCTCTCTACGTCAAGTGGCAAAGGAAAAGTTGGCTATCTGCTGTTCACGATCACTCTGATTGTGATTACCAAAAATAGGCCAGAAGGAGTCTGATGGCAGCTATTCTAACTAACAACTGTTATTAAAAGCTGTAACCTTTACAAGCCACAGCTTATTTCATCAGATGCATAGATGAAGTGGATAGATTGACATAGAATTTAAACTGGGATAAAGTGGGGAGGAGAAGAGGGTGTAATCCAGTTAGTTTTGCAGATGCAGGTTACATATGAGATAGATTACAAGTATCTTCTCAATTAACATTCGTAATATGTTAAAAACATAAAATGTGTTGGAAAAGATGCTACTAAAGTTCATCTGGTTTTTTTTTGCTACCATAGACTGATATGACTCTTCTCCTACAGTTTATACAAAAATAGCCCTTAAGATATGCCACAGATTTGAGACGAGAACCATACAAACACAAATATGAATCTGAAGATGCCATTTTAAAAATCCCCCCCCCCGAAAACAGGGAAAAATGGAAAATTTCAATCCAACCCAAGTGTATGATGTAGTTGCTGTCTACTTTGCAATATCACTTATATCCACTCAGCTCTTTAATTAATGTGAAGCACAGCCTCCACTCCCAAATGCTCTATCCAGTGGATTTTTGATGTATTATGTCTTTTGGTCTTTTTCTTTTTAAAAGACACTTTTAATATTTTAAGCAACTTGGTAATATGCACAGAAAATTCTGGTTATTGACAGATTAGAAGTAGACTGACTACTTATCACTCTGCATACCAAGACATTCATTTTCTGGATTCCTACTCTAGAGAAAATCCATTCCCCAGCCTATGGTGAACTAGAATATAAAGCAGTGAGAAGGATTAGTATTTCATTCAGGGGAGCATGAAGAATATGACACCAGATGTTGTTGGCCAGAATCAGTGTTTCAATGAACAGGAAGAAGTAGAATATTGGGGTGACAAGGGGTGTCACAAGGGGTGTCACAAGGGTGACAAGACACTAACCATGTGACAGTCATAATGAGAGAGATCAAAAAGAAGAAACTCACCACAAAGCACTTTTTCTGCTGCAGCTAATTTGCTACCTCAGCTTGTCAGTTAATTTTTTTTTCCTTAGGTATTCATTTAGAAAAGCTTTGCTTCTGAAAGCTTTGCTGAGATTTTGTTAATTGCTTCGAACAGAAGCTATGGAAAGACCAGACTGATGGTTTTCCTCACATCTTGCACCCCTCTGTACTGTTGCTAAAAGGGGAATCTTTAAAGTATGTATTAAAAGGTATTTGATGGCTGTAGCTTTTAATACAAAGCTAAAATTAGATTCTCTGATTATAGCACTGCCTCTTGCACTGTGGTATTTTCTGTTGCCCTAATAGATGAAGGGAGAAGTTATAAATCCTGGGCTTAAGTTCCTTCAGAAGTGGCTTCCATGGAAACCCTTTTGACAAGCTTTTAAAAATGTTTCTGACATATGAGTTTAAGCAAGAAAGTTTGACATGTGTCATTCCTATATCTAAAACTAATTAAATGAAGTTTTGTCTTGTTAAAGTCTACTGTTAGAAGTAGGCAGCAAGATCTTAACAAACAGCAGCACGATCATACCAGTGAGGGTTGGGATAATTAGAATGATTCAGCATAATAGGTGATGTTACATTCTGGTGCTTTCATCATTTGGTTGCCTCTGAGTATCAAGTGCTTCCCTGTGTCATTGTTAGTAGATTGGCAGTGCCTTCCTTAATCTCTGACAGAGGGAATAACATTAGGAGCCAAAGACTTTGATACTTGTGTCCACTTCACCTCAAACATTTCATCCAGTCATGGGAATGGAGTGAGAATGAGATGATTTCTGACTGCAGGACTCAGAACTTCACATGATTCTGATTAATGCTGCATGCAGCTGATACAACAGGCAGCCAAATTTTAGTTGGGACTTTAAGATCATGGATAGTAGGTCCAACATGGGAGAGAGAGCAGCCAGAGCCCCAGCTTTTGCCTTCATTCCCCTTGATAGGTTCAAATGCATTTACTTCAGTTTGGGGTAGCGTGCTTGGTGCATTGCCAAAGGGAAAGAGATATCGGCTATTGGCTTTGCCAGCAGTGCAAAATTCATTTCTGTGCTATCTGGATAAGCCAGTGAGTTATGCTGGTTTGGTTTGTTCTGCTATATTTATTTATTTATTTATTTATTTATTTATTTATTTATTTATTTATTTATTTATTTGTGAGACTTATATACCGCTTTAAGTGCAAGCACTCTCTAAGCGGTGTACACCAGTAAGCAATGTATATATATTTTACATTGCCCCCAACAATCTGGGTCCTCATTTTACCTACCTCGGAAGGATGGAAGGCTGAGTCAACCTTGAGCGGGTGAGATTTGAACCGCTGACCTGCTGAACACAGTCAGCTAAAGTGTCCTGCAGTACTGCATTCTAACTGCTGCGCCACCTCGGCTCATATGTATGCACTTTGCTCCTATTATTAAAATTAATAATGTTTTTCTATGTGTGGTGAATTTCCTTTATTTTCTTTATGACTATATCAACACACACCTCTCCAGTCCTTGAATCAAAGGAAAAGTACATCAGCATAATTTGCACCCCTTACTGGGTGTGCAGCAACTTGCGATTGGTGCTGCACATGTTCTTTTAATGCAAGACAATTTAGAGGTAGTGATCATTGATTTAATTTGGATGGAGGCTTTAGTTATGTTTGAAGTTGCCTAAGTGATAGTTTGCTGCACGAATGTTCTGTTGTTTGGCTATTTCTGAACAGAAGTTTCTTCTTGAAGAACATTAAATACATACTCAAAAATAGCCCAACTGAGAAGTTGGTCAAGTGATTAGACATTTGTGAAATGGAAAGAACTCTTCTGAAAGGTAGACAATTTCTCTCTTCCTTCATCCCACACCTCTTCATGTTACCTGTGACTATCATTTGGGATAAAAGAGGAAATAGACACAATTTATTGCCCATTTTTCTATACTTCCTATCTATCCAGCATTCCCTCCCTAGCTCTTTAATATGTATAGGAAACTGCTAGATCAGTGTTTCTCAATCTTGACAATTTTAAGGCATGTGGACTTCAACTCCCAGAATTCCACAGCCAGCAATGCTGGCTGTGGAATTCTGGGAGTTGAAGTCCACACGCCTTAAATTTGTCAAGGTTGAGAAACACTGTGCTAGATGAAGTCATCTGGTGGTTCAAGTTGGGGACCATCAGTATACTGATGGTCCCCAACTTTATATCACTGCCCTGGGTCATAAGGGAAATGCTGTTATATCCTAACCCCATATCTGGAGGCTCTAGATATACAGGAGGCTGTAGGAGACAATAGCCTGAAGCTGAACTCAAGTATAATTAAGTTTTTGTTTGAAGTTTTGAGTTCTCAGTCACTGCCAGTATTATATCTGTGTATAGCCAGGCATTTTCATGAAGAAGCAGATTTACAGTATAATTCTAGACTCGTGGCTCCTACTGGTACAATAGATGGAGGTCATAGCTAGTGTCAACTTTGCCCAATACTTTTGCTATCTTTCCTAGTGCAGGAGGGCAAAGGTCCAGCAATAAATGTTCTCAGAAGACCTAGCTGGACTACTGCAATGTGCTTTACATGGGTCTACCCTTAAAGACTATCCAGAAAGTATGAATGTTCCAAAATACGGTGACCTATGTACTTCCTGACTTACAGTAATGGAATGGTATAATACCGATTTTATGAGCCCTGTGCTAGTTGCCGATTGATTTCTGTATACAATTTAAAGTGCTGTTGCTTATATATAAAGCCCTTTAAGACTTGACCCCTAGTTACCTGCAGGACTGCCTGTTCTGACTAGAATTGGCCCAATCAACTAGATCACATGGCTAATTGTGTTCCCACACTTTCATAACCACTCACATCTGTTTTACTTCCCAGTTGTTATGTGCTGTAAGTGGAGCTGCCCTTGAGGAACATCTAGAACAGGGGTGTCAAAGTGCTGGCCCGCAGGCTGGACACATCATCCGGAAGCCGCACCCACCCCATTGCCGGCAATGGTAAAACAGTGCCGATACATCTCGCAACGTCACGTGACATCGCGAGTTTGACATGTCTGATCTAGAAGCTGGTATAGAATGTGGTATCCCAAGCAGTGGTAAGTGGGCCTCAATATATTATATCAATATAGTTTCATTAATTGCTAGTAGAACTCCAGATGATATTTATTGGGCTGGTTTCATGGCTACCTATGCAGAGCCATACATGGTTCTGGTTATCTGAGAGATCTTCTCTGGCATTCATCTACCCATTCAACGAGATCTTAGAGTCAGCTATATCCCTGGAACTGTCATCTGATGGGGCCTTTTATATGTTCTTTTATCATTGCCATCCTGATTCTTTGGAAATCCTTCTAGTAGAGTTTCATCCGTCTTGTGGCTACTTTATAATATACAGTGATCATGGTTTACTGATTTTGTATGAATTTTGTTTTTATATCACTTGGATTATGGAGGTTCTAAATCATTTATTATGAGCCACCTACTATATCTAGGAATGGGCAGAACCCAAGCATAATGAATTGTAAATATATTGATTTTAGATAGTACTATGGATGATTTAATTGTTATTGCATTGTAAACCTTGTAGGCTGCAGAGTCATTGGATTGTGGTAGGAGTACAAGATTAATAAACAAACAAACAAGTGTTGCTGCCAGTGAATAGATATGACCAACAGTACTGGAGGTAGCCAATAAAGTGTGTAAAATGATGCTGTAGTAGAGAAACTTACCAGCCTCTCAAAGGAATAAAACTGGTAGAAAGTATGATCACACAAAACCTCACAGTGGGAGAACCAGCAGCAGAAAACACATTTGGGATAAGCTATAGGCAGTTGACAAAATCCAGTTCTCTTCTTCAATTTGCACCAGTTCCCAAAATAAGTCTTGTGTCCTTTCAAAAGAGTGATAAACATATGTTTAAGAACAGGTCTACTGCTCTTCCAGAATAGGGATAAACTTGTGAACATAAGAAGTCCTTGTAATATCTACTATGAACCAGGCATCCTGACTCTCTGGCAGCCTAGGTCTACAAAAAGCAATGTCAATGTTGCCTTATTAAGCTTAGGTCTAGGACTCTAGGTGCACTCTGTTGATGCAGCCCATGGTACATTTTGCTGCAACATTGTTGGTTTCATATCTTTACTGTAGTTCTTCTGTCCTTTTAGCACCAAGTCTGAAAAAAAGTAAAAGAGTTGTTAAGTGTGAGCCAAGGTGTGTGCTGAACCCATGATCATTCTTGTTTTCTGTGAGTTCTAAAGGTTGTAATTTACATATGGGATTTAAATTGCTCCATTTAGTGGGCCTAAGAAGAAGGGCCATCTCCATCATTGTTTTTTCCCTGTGAAATATTATTCCCTGGAGATAACATTGGCCCACAGCTTGATACACTTTCAAAAGGCTTGGGGACCCTAGGTGATGCTTTTTATTTTGACTGAGGGGTGGGGGTTATTTGGGTTTTACTTCTGTAAGTCTCCTGAAGTCACTGTGAGTGAATTGGGAGGCCATATCAATTTTATAAACAAACAAACAAATAAAGTGGCAAACAGGCAGTTGGGAATTCTCAGGATGGGGCCAGTGGTAGGATTCAGCCAGTTCGCACTACTTTGGCAGAACCAGTAGCTATTTTTTTGTTGCCCAGGCCCAGAATGTACTTCTGGAAGCAGCATCCATGCAGAGAACCAATTATTCACATATGTAATGACCCAGGGCCCGAACGGAGGCAAAGCAATTAGCTGGTCAGAACAATTATCTTTGTAAGCACTGCCAACGTTCACCCAACAGCCCCCACATATGCTGGCACAAGTTCAATAAAACAGTCAATGAAGTTAAACAGTTCTTTAAAGTAAAACAGATAACAAACAAAGTATGATCTTTTCAATGCCCAGCTTGCCTGTAACCTGCAAACTGCAAAACTGAGGACAGCAAGGACAACTCAGCAGGAAACAAACTTGATCCAAAATACAAAGAGTCCAGGTACAAGAGCTCACATCACAAGAGTTCACATTTGTTCCTGGCAAATGCCCCACCCCACAGCGTCTCCTTAAATCCTACTCTCCAGGTGTGCCTTGTGGAGTTGGGCGTGACGCTCTCCCCCCCAAGCAAGTGAGCCTACCTCCATTGTTCCCTCCTCCTCTCTGCTCTCCTTGCTCTGGGATCTGGTGGGGAGGGGCCTTGCTTTTCGCCTGAGCTCTGCCTTCCCTGTTCCAAACTTGAAGGGCCCTGGCCTGCTTCAGCCTGCTCCTCCCCACAGTCCTCCGAAGCCACAGACACCCCCTCCTGGGCCTCAACAGGGAACTCCATGTCATTCTCAGAGTCAGGCTCTGATGGAGGCTTGACAACATATTTGAATCCCACCATTGGATGGAGCATCTTTCTTAGGGGGAACTGAGTCACTGATACCAATTTTAAAAGAAGAAACTGCTTTGTTTGCTTTGTTTTTGGCAGCCAGCCAGAAAGTAAGTTTTTAGGTGAACTTTTAAATATTGATGTGGATTAGTGACTTTCAAGGTTAGGTTTGGCACAGGCATAGAGATTTAGAAGAGGCAGGTTAAAAGAATTTTTAAAAATAATCCCTTCATAGACTGACTAGAATTAATTTAACATTATGTTCCAAAGTGCTCTCTGGTCTGGAAGATGAAATTGGACAGAATCAGTAAGATCCTCCATAAACACAACATCAAAACAGCATTCTGCACAAACAGAAAAATATCCACCATCCTTAGAAACCCCAAAGATAAAATTGAATTAGAAAATCAAGGAGTATACGAAATCCCATGCACCACTTGTCCCACCACATACATCGGACAAACCAACAGAAGAATAAGTGCACGCATTGAAGAACATAAGAACTCATTCAAAAAAGAGGAACCAACATCTTCCCTGGTCCAACACCTTAAAGCCACAGGACATGACATTGACTTTAAAAATACCAGAACCATTGCCAAAAGTGAACATTTTAATAACAGAATAATCAGAGAAGCCATCGAGATAGAAAAACGCCCACACAGCATGAACAAGCGAGATGATACCTCCCGCCTACCAGCCATTTGGAAACCCTCCCTTATTGACAAACGACTCCCTAACACAAAAAATGATACCAGACCCACACTCACAAAAACCACACAGGATGTCACCACCACACATCCACGTAAAAAGCAAACCCAAAGCCACACCGATGATGAGGCATGACCACAAACCAGAAGCCAGACCACAGCTGCATCATTAGCCACTTTAAACCCCTTCAATCCATACATGAAGCAAACTGACACCCTCCATGAAGATGAGGCACGACCACGAACGCGAAGCCAAAAAATAGCAAGGCAGCCCAAAATCTTAAACCCCCCTGCAACTCAGACTAACCTGAGCACAACCAAACAGAACACTCCCCCAGCCAATCAGAGCACAGCCAACCCCCCAGCCAATCAGAGCACAGCCAAACCCCTAACCAATCAGAACACACCTCCACCCAATCAGAACACAGCCAAGCTCCCACCCAATTATTTCATACCTCCACTGGCAGTTAAAAGGAAAAAACAGCTAAGACCACACATTGTTCCTCGAAGCATGAAGCTGAAAACACCAGCCTGAAGATGACGAATGGGACTTCGTTGAAACGTCGCCAAGACACTTCCAATTTTATGCGGGAGAAAACCCGAACAACCAAAGACCTACATACAAACACCCGCGAAAACCTCAGAAAATATATATATATATATCTAGGTCTTTGGTTGTTAGAAAACACCAGAAGAAAACACACACAAACCGCTATCTGCACGCTCTCTCACACCACCACCCAGCACAGACAACTCTGTAGCCAAGACACTCATCTCCAGAACAAAACGCTTAGCTGACGAACAACACCTAAAACCCGAACTACACACTCTCACCAATGTACTAACATCCAATGGAGTCCATAGAAATAAGATTACAAACCTAATCCAAAAAGAAACCCCCACTAAAATCCAAGACAAAGAACAAGAAAACGGCAAAGCCATCCTCCCATACATAAAGGCACTCACAGACGAATCATGTAAGATCCTCCAGAAACACAACTCAAAACAGCATTCTGCACAAACAGAAATATCACCATCCTTAGAAACCCCAAGATAAAATTGAATTAGAAAATCAGGAGTATAAACGAAATCCCATGCACCACTTGTCCCACCACATACATCGACAACAACACACAGAAGAATAAGTGCACGCATGTGAAGAACATAAGAACTCATTTCAAAAACGATGAACCAGCATCTTCCTGGTCCAACACTTAAAATCACAGGACATGAAATTGACTTTAAAAAGACCAGAACTATCGCCAAAACTGAACACTTTAATAACAGAATAATCAGAGAAGCCATCAAGATAGAAAAACACCCACACAGCATGAACAAACGAGATGATACCTCCCGCCTACCAGCCATTTGGAAACCCTCCCTTATTAACAAACGACTCCCTAACACAAAAAATGACACCATACCCACACTCACAAAAACCACACAGGATGTCACCACCACACATCCAGGGCGTAAAAAGCACCCAAGCCACACCATGATGAGGCTGACCAACAAAACCGAAGCCAGACCACAGCTGCATCATTAGCCATCTTTAAACTCCCTTTCCATCCATACATGAAGTCAAACTTGCACCCTCCATGAAGAGGAGACACGACCACGAACGCAAAGCCAGAAAATAGCAAGGCAGCCCAAAAATCTTAAACCCCTCTGCAACTCAGACTAACCTGAGCACAACCAAACAGAACACTCCCCCAGCCAATCAGAGCACAGCCACCCCCCCAGCCAATCAGAGCACAGCCACCCCCCCAGCCAATCAGAGCACAGCCACGCCCCTAACCAATCAGAGCACAGCCAAGACCCTAACCAATCAGAACACACCTCCACCCAATCAGAACACAGCCAAGCTCCCACCCAATCAGTTGAAACGTCGCCAAGACACTTCCAATTTTACGCGGGAGAAAACCCGAACAACCAAAGACCTACATACAAACACCCACGAAAACCTCAGAAAATATATATATATATCTAGGTCTTTGGTTGTTAGAAAACACCAGAAGAAAACACACACAAACCGCTATCTGCACGCTCTCTCACACCACCACCCAGCACAGACAACTCTGTAGCCAAGACACTCATCTCCAGAACAAAACGCTTAGCTGACGAACAACACCTAAAACCTGAACTACACACTCTCACCAATGTACTAACATCCAATGGATTCCATAGAAATAAGATTACAAACCTAATCCAAAAAGAAACCCCCACTAAAATCCAAGACAAAGAACAAGAAAACGGCAAAGCCCTCCTCCCATACATAAAAGGCACCACAGACAGAATCAGTAAGATCCTCCATAAACACAACATCAAAACAGCATTCTGCACAAACAGAAAAATATCCACCATCCTTAGAAACCCCAAAGATAAAATTGAATTAGAAAATCAAGGAGTATACGAAATCCCATGCACCACTTGTCCCACCACATACATCGGACAAACCAACAGAAGAATAAGTGCACGCATTGAAGAACATAAGAACTCAGTCAAAAAAGAGGAACCAACATCTTCCCTGGTCCAACACCTTAAAGCCACAGGACATGAAATTGACTTTAAAAATACCAGAACCATTGCCAAAAGTGAACATTTTAATAACAGAATAATCAGAGAAGCCATCGAGATAGAAAAACGCCCACACAGCATGAACAAGCGAGATGATACCTCCCGCCTACCAGCCATTTGGAAACCCGCCCTTATTGACAAACGACTCCCTAACACAAAAAATGATACCAGACCCACACTCACAAAAACCACACAGGAGGTCACCACCAAACATCCACGCAAAAAACAAACCCAAAGCCACACTGACTATGAGGCACGACCACAAACCAGAAGCCAGACCACAGCTGCATCATTAGCCACTTTAAACCCCCCCAATCCATACATGAAGCAAACTGACACCCTCCATGAAGAGGAAGCACGACCACGAACACGAAGCCAAGGAATGGCAGGGCAGCCCAAAATCTTGAATCCCTCTGCAACTCAGACTAACCTGAGCACAACCAAACAGAACACTCCCCCAGCCAATCAGAGCACAGCCAACCCCCCAGCCAATCAGAGCACAGCCAACCCCCCAGCCAATCAGAGCACAGCCAAGCCCCTAACCAATCAGAACACACCTCCACCCAATCAGAACACAGCCAAGCTCCCACCCAATCAGTTCATACCTCCACTGGCAGTTAAAAGGAAGAAACAGCCAAGACCACACACTGCTGCTCGAGGCACGAAGCTGAAAGCACCAGCCTGAAGATGACGAATGGGACTTCGTCGAAACGTCGCCAAGACACTTCCAATTTTACGTGGGAGAAAACCCGAACAACCAAAGACCTACATACAAATACCCGCGAAAACCTCAGAAAACATATATATATATATATATATATATATATATATATATATATATATATATATATATATATATATATATAAATGTATGTATGGTATGTATGTATGTAGGTCTTTGGTTATTCGGGTTTTCTCCCACGCCAAATTGGAAGTGTCTTGGCGATGTTTCGATGAAGTCTCATTCGTTATCTTCAGGCTGGTGCTTTCGGCTTCGTGATTCCAGGAGCAATGTGTGATCATAGCTGTTTCTTCCTTTTAACTGCCAGTGGGGATATGAACTGATTGGCTGAGAGCTTGGCTGTGTTCTGATTGGATGGAGGTGGAGAAGCCTTGACAGCTATCCAAAACAAATATAACCCCCCCAAATACATCCTAGATCTGACCAACCACTGCCTATCCAACACATACTTCATTTATAACAGACAAAAATACAAACAAATAGAGGGAGCACCCATGGGATCACCCCTCTCACCTGTCTTTGCAAACCTCTACATGGAACACTTTGAAACTCAAGCTCTAGAAAAATCTGAACACAAACCCAAACTCTGGCTCAGATACGTAGATGACACCTTCATAAACTGGCCACATGGGAAAGAAAAACTGGACAACTTCCTCATACACCTCAACAGCCTATACCCCAAAATACAGTTCACCATGGAAACAGAAGCTAATAACCAACTTCCCTTCCTGGATGTCTTAGTCTACAAGAAATCCAATGGCTCCCTAGGACACACCATCTACCAGAAGAAAACACACACAAACCGCTATCTGCATGCTCTCTCACACCACCACCCAGCACAGATCAACTCCGTAGCCAAGACACTCATCTCTAGAACAAAATGCTTAGCTGATGAACAACACCTAAAAACCGAACTACACACTCTCACTAATGTACTTACATCCAATGGATTCCAAAGAAATAAGATTACAAACCTAATCCAAAAAGAAACCCCACTAAAACCCAAGACAGAGAACAAGAAAACGGCAAAGCCCTCCTCCCATACATAAAAGGCACCACAGACAGAATCAGTAAGATCCTCCATAAACACAACATTAAAACAGCATTCTGCCCAAACAGAAAAATATCCACCATCCTTAGAAACCCCAAAGATAAAATTGAATTAGAAAATCAAGGAGTATACGAAATCCCATGCACCACTTGTCCCACCACATACATCGGACAAACCAACAGAAGAATAAGTGCACGCATTGAAGAACATAAGAACTCAGTCAAAAAAAAGAGGAACCAACATCTTCCCTGGTCCAACACCTTAAAGCCACAGGACATGAAATTGACTTTAAAAATACCAGAACCATTGCCAAAAGTGAACATTTTAATAACAGAATAATCAGAGAAGCCATCGAGATAGAAAAATGCCCACACAGCATGAACAAACGAGATGATACCTCCCGCCTACCAGCCATTTGGAAACCCGCTCTTATTGACAAACAACTCCCTAACATAAAAAAATGACACCCAACCCACACTCACAAAAACCACACAGGAGTTCACCACAACATGTCCACGCAAAAAGCAAACCCAAAGCCACACCGATGATGAGGCACGACCACAAACCAGAAGCCAGACCAAGCTGCATCATTAGCCACTTTAAACCCCTCCAATCCATACATGAAGCAAACTGACACCCTCCATGAAGATGAGGCACGACCACGAACGCGAAGCCAAAAAATAGGAATGCAGCTCACCATCTCACATCCCCATGCAACTCAGACTAACCTGAGCACAAAGAGAACACTCCCAAACCAATCAGAGCACAGCCAACCGCCCATCCAATCAGAGCACAGCCAAGCTCCTAACCAATCAGAACACACTTCCATCCAATCAGAACACAGCCAAGCTCTCATCCAATCAGTTCATAGCCCCACTGGTAGTTAAAAGGAAGAAACAGCTACGATCACACATTGCTCCTGGAAGCACGAAGCCGAAAGCACCAGTCTGAAGATGAAGAATGAGACTTCGTCGAAACGTCACCCAGACACTTCCAATTTGACGCGGGAGAAAACCTGAATAACCGAAGACCTACATACAAACACCCGCAAAAATCTCAGATAACAAATATATATATATATATATATATATATATATATATATATATATATATATATACACATACATACATACATACATACACAGAACCCCATTACCTTCTCCAGGATGTCCCTCCATCTCTTGAGCCCTTGTTCTGCAGGTGTACTGGCAAGGCTTCATGGTATCATGAGCTCCACCCACATTGGCTGGGCAGGCAGCAATTGGTGTGGTTTGTCCCTACAGTGAATCCATGGTCAGAAGCATATTCTTGCTGCCAGACTTTACCAATGAATTGTGCCAGTTGCTGTTTCACTCTTATTTTCTCTCCAGCTTGTTATCGTGGAACAAATAAGCAAAACAAGTCAATTAATTGCCTTTGGATTTTTCCACAATATAGTCAAAACCCTTATAATGCAGGGTGTTGTATAATTATTTGCATACTTTTAATGGACGATGCTCTACACTCTTCAGCATATAACAGCACTGACATGTTAGGAAATAAGTAGGCAAATATATAAATACATGACTGTGTAAAATTAGTTTAGTATTAAATAAACAGGTTTTCAAATCAATCTTAAATGCAGTAGCCAGAATTGGGCAAGAACACAATTCCATAATCAAAGACCTAGTTTCTGAAATATATCCAAATAGATAAAGCAACATATAAAGTGCCAATAGAAAGGGGAGAAAGAATCCCTTTTGTTATTAACTATTTTGTATAAACAGGTACATACTAGGATGGGGGCTGGAACAGGGAGTGGTAAATAACTGACTGCAGGTTCTTAAATACTAGCACCAACAACTGGCATTGGACTCTGGCTATTGTAGGAAGCTGATAAAAGCCCTGCAGAAGCAGAAATATGAGAAAAAGATAGATTGAGAATAACACATACTGCAAAGTTCTGGACCAAGATTAATGATTGAAGAAGGAAAAAGGAAGACACACCTTAGACTGTTAAGGTAATGCCTAAAAGAGAGACCACCAGGGCCTGAACCAATAAATCTGCAGTGTCAGGAAACAGAACTTGTTTAATCTGGCAGAAGTTCAATAACTGAAGATGACAGACTCTTACAGTTATCATTATAAATGGCCAAAGAGAGAACACATCATCTAACAGAACCTTGAAGTTCTTAGCCCCCATCATTGGAACCATCTCAGAGCTTTGAAGCAGGACAGAATGGAAAGCGGGGGAAGGGAAGATACAGCCAAAAAACCCAGAATTTTAGTTTTTCCACATTCCCTTTTAATCATATCATCCACAATGAGATATCTAAAAAGCATTTTGAAAGGAAGGCCCATCCATCCTTAATTGTGTCAGGAAAAAACTAAGGGGAGGTACTATCTCTCCCATTGTCCCTGGAAATGTGGAAACAAAGATTTTATATGCTCTGATAGGCATTCAAGAAGTGCCAGGCAAGATGCCCTGTTCCTTAAAGGACATGGGGCTATTATAAAAACCAGAAGTTTTGAAAGTTAAAAAGCTAATTGCTTCAACTTTCACCGCCTAACAAGATTCTAGCAGGAAATTTAACGAAGTATTATATATCAATTCTCTTACTATGAAGCCAGATTGTAAAACTATAAATCAGGCCAAAGTTTTTTATCAGTGCTGAAAGGGCCAAGCAAAAACAGCATCTGGGGTTCTGTAGGCAGTCCAGTATTATCAGTTTCAAGGGGAGATACTGTACGTAAGCAGAACTTACCTCCAGTCCACTCTGGTTTTCTAAAGCCAACAAGACATTCTCAACATCCCCATTGCCAAACTTGTTCCTACAAGACTGCAGCCTTTGGGGCAGCCTTAAATATCTAAAACAGGCAAACAATTTTTGGGAAAAGGCAGGACAAGCTACTTAGGAAGTCATGATTGAATGAATTTGATGAAATCAGAAAGAATGAAAAATTTAAAGAGTAAAGGGCATTGTTTGAAGTGTAATTTGCAAGTATAAAAAGGTATGAAAAGGTATAAAGAATTGAGTTTAAGTTAACTAGATATACCCTAGTTACATTTCCTTTCCTCTTACTTTTTGTCTTTAAATTCTTCTGTATTCTACTTTTTTCTCTTTGTACACTCTGCAAAACATTGCTTATCCCCCCCAAAAGAAATAGTATGTTGAATGTGTTTGTAAAATACTCTACTTATGAGTTCTGTAAATCCACTACATGAACATAACTATGTCCTGATTTTCAGATGCTTAAGTATGTTATGGAATTCTCAGCACCAAGAATAGACACTCACCAGCTGTACCAGTTGTTCCAGCAAAGCTGAGAAGTTTTAAATACCTCAGTCCTCTGTATTTCCCACAGAGAGGCAGCTAAAGGTTACTGGACACCAGTTTGACAAAACTTCAACTCTCATCATCAATCTTCCTTGTAGATGGCTATTCTTAAACAAGCATTCCAGCCTGAGGTTCTCCAATTGCTGTCTTCTGGACTCTCATGCGTTAGGAAGCTTGCTTTGGATTCTTAAACTCTTCAGTGTTTAACCTGTATATCTATAAATAAGTACAAATATTTAGGACATATCAGTAAGACTCTGGTGACAACACTGTCAAGGCAAACAGACATAGGTAAATATTAGCACCTTGTGAAATTCAATCTAACAATATGCAAACACTGTCTGTCTGTCTGTCTGTCTATCGATCGATCGATCGATAGATAGATAGATAGATAGATAGATAGATAGATATTCAAAATCAGAAAACACAGATCACCAAGACTAAAAAATTTATTAAAACTTAGCTTTCGCTAGCATCTGCTGGCATCGTCAGAGTTCAAGCCAGGATTGAGGGAACACGTTCTTATACTCTCTGCAAAGCCAAGCGAATACATACACACACACACACACACACACACACACACACACACACACACAGAGAGAGAGAGAGAGAGAGAGAGAGAGATTGAAAACACCAAATTTGGGTTCACTAATCAATCAGTTTGTGGTTGCACAGATTTAAATTATTCAGATATATAAAAGATCACAACTGTGAATATGAAAAAGACTATAGCAATAACAGAAACAGTTAAAGGATACTAAATTGCAGTCACAAATTATTCATGCCATCATCCCTTAATTCTTCTTGCTTGACCTTTAAGCCTTATTCTGTTTTTCCAATTTAGAATTCTTGCTGCTGAGTCGACACTGACACTGCGTTGTACTTGGATGAGCACTGATTTTAAGTAGAGATACAGGGTGGTAGCATATCAAGTAGTTGAGCAGCATCAGAATACAACTCCATGTTAAAGAATCCTTTGAAAGCTGAGGGTGAGTTCACACATGTCTTCTTTCCATCATGTGGAAAAAAAACCCTCAAAAAGGTATGTATCATAATGTTTACCCAAAATCAACTTCAGATCTAAGGGCGATTTCTTGAATACTCAAGGAACAGTTCTGGGTCTGAACCAGGTCTTCATATTTATATCCTCAGTCATTTCTGGGGAAAATTACAGATGGCAGAAGTGCAGGGAAAGCGGTCCTTTGGCAATTTATGAGTGGAGCAATACAGGCAGGTAACTCTAATGAAGGTTTCTACATGGCTGTGATGCAAACAGGATTTTATATACTATCATTTGCAAATGAAACAGCAAAACCAGGAGATGATGTAACAATGTGGTTAGTCTCTTTCATAGTTTCTGTAAGAGCTCCACTGTCTATGCATCATGATAATATGCCCTGGAAATTTTCCTTAGTGGCCATTTCAGAATGAACAAATCAATGCATGTTTAGGGGAGGAAATTATAACCCAATTCCAAATTACTTAGACATTTCAAGTTAGTCACTGCAGTTCTGCTTAGTTGTAATTGTGCAACCTAAATTGGTTCTTTCCCCCTCTTTCTCTATAGTCTAAGAGTTTAAGTATAAACCAGTGTTTCTTAATTTTTAATGGAAGAAAGAAAACAGGACAGTAAATCTTGGCTCTCCACTGAGCTGAATAAAAGTGTTATTTTTTGTATTACTAGCTTATGACATCATAATTATGGTGTCTATTGACATGGCGCTAGAATACCTTTAGGCTGTATTGGCACAAAAGGATTTAATTGCCATACTCTCATCATCTGAATAACATTAGCAAAGTTAACTTGTAGAAAGATGGGCTGTTAATACATTTAATAAAATAAATGAATAAAATAAAATTTGTAAAGTAGAATAAATAAAACAATGGAAAGTTATTAGATTTTTTTAAAGTGAAAGTTCTTAAGATTTAATTTTTCATGTTCTTACAATATTATTTTTCTCAACTGTATATCTCTAGTTCTCCTTTTAATAGACCATGCTTTTGCCTTGAATTTGAAATTCAGAATTTAATTCTGCATATCAAAATAAACATATAGCTTCTTACTTTTGTGCACGCATGATAAACACACACAGAGAGATAATATCAACTTCCAATATCAACTTCCATATTAAATACAGGACAGCTCTGATATTTACATTCTCCTTTTCTTTGTCATTCTTAACAATATATTGTTCTTATAATCTGGACTATATATTCATATAATAGATACTTGCACATATTGACAGATTTTTCAAACTAGTACCTGATAATAATCAACAGATCTGACACTAAGCGACTTAGCTTGGCTATTCTTTTATTTGACTTGGCAGTAGATACAGAAACACATCTTCACTAGTTAAGAACTTTACTGCAGACAAAATGAAGCTATCAAAAAGCTGCTATTAGATTTGCAGTGCAAATGATTTATGTGTTCCTGAATTTGATTTTCCCTCCCGCTCTTCGCACAATTTAAGAAACTCTGATTCAGCACTTAATGACCTTGAGGATGAGCAGTTGGTGAATATTTACATCTGTGGCCTAGGAATTGCTGATTGCCTGCCTCAAGATTCACAGATATTGGTGTTTGAATGCAATTAATAATTATAACAAATGTCTTTATATTTTTACGTACAATACTTCTTATTTAAATCCTCTGATTTGAAGAATACATTCTCTCGTAAATGATGCATGTGGTGAAAGATGATTACCTATATTGCACTGCTTCCATTATAGTCCACAATACATGAAAAACATTCATATTTTTCAGCCATAAACACAATGGAACAATAAAGCAATATATTAATGGAGTCCAGAAATTGCCACCCCTTTAACGAAAGCATTGCAGACAGGCTTCATTATATGTTATGGAAAAATATCTCCCTCTATTGTTTGAATGTTGAGAAATTTCCTGTTACCAGTAAGAGGAAACATTTCTTGAAAAAAAAAGTCCTTGTTTAGTTAAAACTAGGAGCTGTAATTTGAAAGACAGATTTGTGGTTCACTGTTTGACATGCTTCTTCAAGAACTACCAAGTCCACAGTTTCTGGGCAAAGAAGGCAGAGGGAAGAACAAAGCCATCAAAGAATGTTTGTCTAGGTAAATTAGAAATGAGTCCACTTGGCAGTATTTTTAGGCTTAAAATATGGGTGAGCAAATGTCAAGTTCACACTGGGAATGTAAAAGAATTCTGCCAAGAATTCAAGTGGAAATGAAATTTGGTGTTCTATTCCAATAGACTTCTCAGGGTCATCAGTCCAACATTTCTAGCTTTTATTTTGCCCTACCAAATATTCACAAAAAAATGTATGTGGAAAAAAAGATACATTACTGAAGATTCATGTATGCAGCAGTAGTTCCATATAAAAAGAGAGCTTACCTAAAAGTAATTTGCATTTAAAACCCTGCATCAATAAAATGTACATGTCAAAGAACAAAAGCACAGTGATTTGAATTTGAAAAAGGGGTTTAGAACAATTTACATTAATAGTTACATAGATTATAAAAAGATGTATACAAAAGCCTTAGTAAGTTACAAGTGGTTGCAAATATATATATATATGTTTTCTGAGGTTTTCGCGGGTATTTGTATGTAGGTCTTTGGTTGTTCAGGTTTTCTCCCGTGTAAAATTGGAAGTGTCTTGGTGACGTTTCGACAAAGTCCCATTCGTCATCTTCAGGCTGGTGTTTTCAGCTTCGTGCTTTGAGCAGCAATGTGTGGTCTTAGCTGTTTCTTCCTTTTAACTGCCAGTGGGGGTATGAACTGATTGGGTGGGAGCTTGGCTGTGTTCTGATTGGGTGGAGGTGTGTTCTGAATGGTTAGGGGCTTGGCTGTGCTCTGATTGGCTGGGGAGTGTTCTGTTTGGTTGTGCTCAGGTTAGTCTGAGTTGCAGAGGGGTTTGAGATTGTGGGCTGCCTTGTTATTTTTTGGCTTCGCGTTCGTGGTTGTGCTTCCTCTTCATGGAGGGTGTCAGTTTGCTTCATGTATGGATTGGAGGGGTTTAAAGTGGCTAATGATGCAGCTGTGGTCTGGCTTCTGGTTTGTGGTCGTGCCTCATCATCGGTGTGGCTTTGGGTTTGCTTTTTGCGTGGACGTGTGGTGGTGACATCCTGTGTGGCTTTTGTGAGTGTGGGTCTGGTGTCATTCTTTGTGTTAGGGACTCGTTTGTCAATAAGGGCAGGTTTCCAAATGGCTGGTAGGCGGGAGGTATCATCTCGCTTGTTCATGCTGTGTGGGCGTTTTTCTATCTCGATGGCTTCTCTGATTATTCTGTTATTAAAATGTTCACTTTTGGCAATGGTTCTGGTAGTTTTAAAGTCAATTTCATGTCCTGTGGCTTTAAGGTGTTGGACCAGGGAAGATGTTGATTCCTCTTTTTTGACTGAGTTCTTATGTTCTTCAATGCGTGCACTTATTCTTCTGTTGGTTTGTCCGATGTATGTGTGGGACAAGTGGTGCATGGGTTTTCGTATACTCTTTGATTTTCTAATTCAATTTTATCTTTGGGGTTTCTAAGGATGGTGGATATTTTTCTGTTTGTGCAGAATGCTGTTTTGATGTTGTGTTTATGGAGGATCTTACTGATTCTGTCTGTGGTGCCTTTTATGTATGGGAGGAGGGCTTTGCCGTTTTCTTGTTCTTTGTCTTGGATTTTAGTGGGGGTTTCTTTTTGGATTAGGTTTGTAATCTTATTTCTATGGAATCCATTGGATGTTAGTACATTGGTGAGAGTGTGTAGTTCGGGTTTTAGGTGTTGTTCGTCAGCTAAGCGTTTTGTTCTGGAGATGAGTGTCTTGGCTACAGAGTTGATCTGTGCTGGGTGGTGGTGTGAGAGAGCGTGCAGATAGCGGTTTGTGTGTGTTTTCTTCTGGTAGATGGTGTGTCCTAGGGAGCCATTGGATTTCTTGTAGACTAAGACATCCAGGAAGGGAAGTTGGTTGTTAGCTTCTGTTTCCATGGTGAACTGTATTTTGGGGTGTAGGCTGTTGAGGTGTGTGAGGAAGTTGTCCAGTTTTTCTTTCCCATGTGGCCAGATTATGAAGGTGTCATCTACGTATCTGAGCCAGAGTTTGGGTTTGTGATCCGATTTTTCTAGAGCTTGGGTTTCAAAGTGTTCCATGTAGAGGTTTGCAATGACAGGTGAGAGGGGTGATCCCATGGGTGCTCCTTCTGTTTGTTTGTATTTTTGTCCATTATAGATGAAGTATGTGTTGGATAGGCAGTGGTTGGTCAGATCTAAGATGTGTTTGGGGGGGTTATATTTGTTTTGGATAGCTGTCAAGGCTTCTTTGATAGGCACTTGGGTGAAGAGGGATATGACATCGAAGCTCACTAGTAGGTCGCTGGGCTGTAAGTTTTGTTTCTTTATGATCTCTATAAACTGGAATGAGTTTTTTACGTGTGAGGTGATGGATTCTGCATAGGGCTGTAGTTGTTTGGCGAGAAATTTGGCTAGGTTTTGTAGAGGTGAGCCTACGGAGCTGACTATAGGTCTGAGTGGGGTTCCTTCTTTGTGTATCTTGGGGAGACCATA